GCCCCGACCCCCTCGGTTGCGTGGCCGCCGCCGGCACAAGGCTCCCTGCTCCGGTCCCCCCGGCTGGAGGAGGAGCACCCTCGCCCTCCGCTCGCGTCCCGGGTGACCGGCCCCTCTCTCAGCCGCGCGGCGGTGGCACTGAGGACCCCCTTCGGGAAGCGTTGGGGCTCCTGGTGCTGCCCCGCACTCGGCTCTGAGTGACCCTCTCTAGCGCTATTGACCTAAGTCATGGCTGTTCTCGTCCTTCGTGGACGGTCAAAGAAGCAAAATTCAAGATCTCCCCAGGCATAAATTTCTCACATCATGAGCAGGGATGCCCGGGGATTGCATTTCCTACTGCATCGCACCTTTACGTGGTCCCGCACACCTGCTCCATTGCTCTAACTTTTCTTCTTTTTTTCTACTGTTCACTTGTTTCTTCCCTGAAGCCTGGCTTGGTAGGAGGCTGTGACTTGGGCTCGCGTTGCTTAATCTTTTTTATTCTCATTAATTTACAAAGAATGCCAAGGGAAGTTCCACATCAACAAGAAGAACAGTTCCTGCCTGTTTTGTCATCATCACGACAAGAGGAGCTTGAAGAACAGCAGGGGATTGTTGTGCAGAAGAGAAGTCATAGAGGTATGGAGACATGTTCTGTATTTTGCTTTGTTTGCTTCCAGTATCCCAGGAGGCTTATGAGAGAGCCTGGAAAGCTGAGCTGAATCATGGGAGGTAGTGCCATGATGAGTGGATGAGGTGGAGAAACATATGATTGAAGGGCATACGGTGGAGGAGTGCTGCTGGTGTGCCGCAGTGGTAGGGACAACACGATGCTCAACAGAAGAGGCTGGACTAATGCGGTTAGGTTGAGCCTTGAAGGAGGAGAGAGATTTGGATGTGCTGGAACAGCAGGTGAAGAACAAGCGGAGGGCTGCCAAGGAGCGAGTGGTGTGGTCAGGTTTGTGAGAGGAGGCGTTTGGCCATCCACCGCTTCCTTGGGTTGCAAAGGAGCATTGCGTGTGTTTGGGATGCAGAGAAGAGAACTTTGCAACAGTTGTGGTAGGATATACCAAAGAGGCCTAAACAGCAGGTTTGTCTGTGAAAATGGTAACAGATTGGTCTTAAAGCTGGTGGGGTAGAAGGAAAGCCCAAGAGCTGGGCGCTATTTGTGCGTGACTTGTGGGAAAAGGGAACCCGGCACTTCAGCTAGCATAAACTGATGACAAAATCTCCAGGAAGAGATGCTAGACAGCCACTTGAGCATTGGGATTGAATCCGAGGGAAGAAAGGTTGATGGCAGAGGGAGAAATCTGAGAACTGCAAGCACAGAAATGCTATCTAAAATCCTTAAGAATTGCTAGACAGGAGGTGCAAAGGGCGAAGAGTGCAGGTCTGCGAACCCGAGCCTGGCATTAAGAAAGCAAAAGAGGACGGTGACTCATTGACAGAAATAATACAGGTGACAATTATTTTGTAATCATAGTAAGTCACTACTTTTGATAATAATAGATCTGGGGATCAATGAGAAAGCACCGTAGGGTAGTTTCTGAGAGTTACGGAGGCTGGGGAAGGTAGGTCACCCAGGAACAAGGTTTAAGGACCTGTGAATTCCAGGCCAGTGGGTTCTTCTGGTCACATCCACAACTGCAGAGGCTCTTTCCCAGCTCATTAGCTCCTGCCTTCCACGCCACCTTACCCCACATCAGTGATTCCTCTTTCGGAATTTCAGTGTTGAGATCTAAGGTGACTGTGGGGATGAAAGGGATATCTTGCAGCTTCTGTCACTTCAGTTTCCCTTCTTGTCTGCGCACCCGCAGGAGGGTGGTACAGGACCTTAGAAGTCATCTGAAAGTATATGTTAAAAAAAGGAAAGCTTGTTTAAAGATAGTTCTCATGGACTCAGGTGGGGAGGCCACGCTTAAGTGACCTGCGAGGTTTCTTTGAAGATAGTAAGGCTGTAATTGATAAAGGAGCATTGGTAGACGTGGAAGAGTTGGATATTTCAAAAGACTTGTGAGAGGGCCCCAAATCAGAGATTGATGGGCAGGGGGGAGGTGTGAGATCTGGAGTGAGACAGCTGCTGAAATGGGGAGCTCTCTTAGAAACATATATTGGAAAATGAAGTTTATACATTATTTTGACGTGGAAAATGAAAGATAACATCACGTTTGAAGCTTATATTGAAGTTTGAGAGGAAAAGTATTAGAAAATATCTTTATTAAACAAGGAGTGTGGCACAAAATAACTGCATATTAAGACACAAAGACTTCACTTTGCATTGTAGATTATAGCATGATTTGCATTTGTTTAATTAGTGATAGTTGATACTACCAGATAGGTGGTGGCTGATTTATACAAAATGAATGTTTTAAGTCAGTCCAGCAGGTGCTGTGTATCAGCAAAGGTTTGCTTTAAGCCAACCATATAGTGATATAAAATTCTGGTTTAATTGTAAAAAATAATTTTCCATAATTGGAAATGTTTGGACTATGATAGACAAAACAAATCAAATAATTTTCACGTATCTAATTTGCAGACAAAAAATATCCGCGAAAGTTTGGTTAATCCCAAACCGTATAGTGGCACTTCTGCCCCCCTAGTCCCACTGAAAAATAACAGTATTATTACTTTTTTATTCTCGTTTATATTTGACATCTTTAAAGATTCTTTCTGGCTGCAGAATAACTGCTTATCCAGACTTCATCTCAAACTAGAAGCCTCCATCTTCAGGTGCTGGGATGCTGAAGAATCTCCCCTCACTTCTAAGGCTATAGTGAGATTCTATAATCCCCTGTGTACGTGAGATGAATGAATTTGCCACAGTTAGACATACACGCATTCAGTCTTTTCGGTTTCAAAATCGCTGTGTGTCTCCTCTATGCCTTTAGACGTGCCTTAGAGACAACACAGTAATTTGCAGAAGCAGGATCGTGCATGTGGTCACTCATATAACGCCATTGACTTCAGTGGAGTTAAAGAATGAATGAAATGAATGAATAAGTGAAAGTTTAGGTCCCCTGTCAATGAACTGAGAGCAGTCCTCTCTATACTTCCCTGCTGGGTGTCTTCTCTATACCGGAAAGAGAAGTTAGGCAGGGAGGACTTAAAGTGAAGGTGGATGTGTACGTCCAGGAATTACCTAGTTTTTCTCTGATATCTCTTGTCATTTTAAGCTAAATTAGTAATTGACCTTACTAAGTTTTACTTGCTAAAAAGAACTAAACCAACTTTTATAGTGCTGGGAGACCTCTGTGGGAGGCATGGAGTTGGTAGGTTGTTCAAATAGTTCACAGCCTGTTTGAAAAAGGATTCTGATACAGCAGCAGGTAACGTTATCAGAAACTCTTAAAATGCATTAAAAGACATAAGCCTTGGAATTACGTTTTGTTTCCTGAGCTGATTCTCACAACTGGGGAGAGATTTTGAGGATCATCTACCTTGAGCTGGGGCTGACCAAAACCTGGCACAAGTGGGGAAAATAAGCTGCAGAGTTTAGAAAGGTCATTCTAAAGGCCTCCCTAGTGGGAGCCTTCTGAGAGGCCAGAGATGTACAGCTACTACCCGGGAGAGTATATATGCGCTTTGAGCAGTCCTGTTAAAGTCATTGGGTCTACTTATAACCTTAGCTGTTCTTCTAAATCAACATTTTTAATGGTGACAGTGGAAGAATAGCTTTAAGCTATAGATCTATTTTAGTTTTTAAACTGCTGTGTAACAGAAAAAGAGAGAATCCCCTTATTCATTTTTTCACTTGTGTTAGGTCACCCCACTGTCTGCTGTGTTCTGATGACACAGGAAGAGTAAGTCCTTCTTTCACCTCTGTATCTGGTGTCCTGGGGTCACCTTTGTTGCTCTACGCTTCAGCATTCCCAGGGTAATAATATACGATGGAAGGTAGGTTGTCTTTCAGACAGATGTCTAAATTCTGTCTACAAAGAAAAAATTAACTTGTGGGTTCACATGCTATTCATTTCTTAATCCCCCTGCTCTCTACTTACTGCTTTAGCTGAAAACTGCAGTGATTTCTAATCTAACTCCAGAGGAGCTTTCTTCTCAATGTGGGAGATGACTGAGCATATATTCCCTAATATTCCTAAACTTAGTAACTCATAACTTTGGAGTGAAATTTCAACTTTTTTTTTCTTTTAATTTTTGTATGAAGACATTTTGCCACTTATGGAAGATGCTGGATTGACAGATCAGAATAGCAGAGTGTTATACAGGCACAGAAAGCACATAGGGAAGCTTTGCTGT